GGGAGGAATTCTGGGGGGGTCACAGAGGGGGCTTGACTCCTGATTGACTCTGCCATCACAGCCCTCTCTGGGTGTCGGCCGGTCCTCACAAGCCCTCCTGTTTGTCATTCTCTGCCCCGTGGGCTCATACTTCCCCGGAGACTCTGTGAGGTCCGTGTCCCTCCTGGCCGACCCCGCGTTCATCCGGGCCTGGACGGGCGGAGTCGGCAACTACAAGCTGGGTGGGTAAGTGGCACCCCCACCCCCAGAGTGGCTGGGCTCAGAGCCCCGGGGTTCCTGGGGCCATTCACATGGCCACGTGGGGAGTGACACCGTCAGCACGTGGGGCTCGGTGCTCAGCGCCGTGTGTTCTTGGCTTCCCCGATCCCGAAAGCAAACCGCAGAAGGAAGGAGGAGGGGGTTATTTTCCAGATGGACAAACAGGCCCAGAGATGGGCGGGGTTTGGATGGAGGTCAGTGGGGAAACCCGGATTGGTCCCCGGGAAGCTTCCAGAAATGAAGTTTGCACTAACTCATTGGCCTCTCCCCCACCCAGCCTCCTCTGATCCCTCAGGGCAGGCTGAGCCCCCATGCCCAGCTCCCATAGTCACTTGGGCACCCAACGCCCGTCACCCCCAGTGTGGACCTTCTGTGTAAATCTGGCGCCCTGGGGGCCTTGGCGGGGCAGGGAGACGCGATTGGGTCTCCTGGGTGATGAAGGCAGAGGGTAGCGCACCGCCATGTTGGGACAGGAACGTGGCCCCAGTGGGGTTTCATTCGGTTTCTTTGAACACACATCCTGTGAGGTCTCCTGAGGGCTGGCTGTGCTGGCTGAAGCTGGGGGCACAGAGGAGTTAGGTCTGAGCCCTGGCTGCCAGGGGCTCCCAGGCTGGAGCCCCAAGTATTCAGAAGTGCCTGCTCTCTGGTGGTGACCCGGGGTATCATGGATGGCTTCACAGTGGGAGGTGATGCTTCTACTGAGTCTAATGAATAGGAAGGAGATGGCTTCCTGGTGTAAAAGATAGAAAACAATTTCTGATCCTGGGGTCACACGTATAGGGGTGGAGGAGATAGGACCCCAGAAGGCATTCTGAGAAGGAAAATAAGTGGTTTTTGCAGAAGGCTTAACAAATATTCAGAGATCTGGGCCAGGCCTGGAACAGCAGCCGGGGGCTGGGATCTTGTCCTGGGGCAATGGGAGCCATGGCAGCTTGTTAGATGAGGGAGAGGTCAGCTCTGGGTGAGAGATGTGTTAGAACACGGTGATATAGAAACTCTTCAGGGTAACCCAGAGTTCATTGGAGGAGCTCAGGGAAGGTTCAGCACCCAGCTGGGAGGTCTGGAGACTACTCTGAGAGGTGATGACATCAGCCAGGTGTAGTGGCTCACGTCTATAATCCCAGCACTTTGGGAGGCTGAGGTGGAGTACGGGAGTTTGAGACTAGCCTGGGCAACATAGTGAGACCCTGTTTCTTTCTTTTTTTTTTTTTTGAGTTGGAGTCTCACTCTGTCGCCCAGACTGGGTTGCGGTGGCCGGGAGCCTTGACCTGCTGGGCTCCAGCGATCCTTCCACCTCAGCCTTCCAAGTAGCCGGAATT